GATCTGCAGCTTGTACCGTTGCAGTTCGAGTGCCCATCGCAAAATGCGCGCGGATAGAATTTTTTCTTTTGAATAAGGCCACCAAAGGTTGGTGATCGGTTCTCACCACAGTTGGTATTCCGTAGATAAACATGTGGAATCTCCTGACTGCGAATACTATACCCAGTGCTTCGAGGTCAATTATGTGATATTTCTTTTCCGCTTTTGTGAGCGTTTTGGACGCAAAGAATATTGGATGAATCTGTTTTTCTTCTCCTTCTTGTGACAAGACTGCTCCTAGTCCTGACGTAGACGCGTCTGTGAATATGATGAAAGGCCTTATGATGAAAGGCCTCCTCAATATTAGGTTGTGTTAACACTGGTGCTGTTGAAATTATTTGTTTCATTTTTTCAAAAGCTTCCTTTTGTTTTTCCTCCCACTTCCATTCTGCCTTCGCTGAGGTCAGCTCAAAAAGGGGTGCAGCGATCTTTGAGAAGTTCAAACAAAACTTTCTGTAGAACGATGAAAGAAGCTCAAGAAGCTTCTCATTTCCTTGCCATTTCTAGGAGCTGGATAGTTTAAGACTGCTTCAACTTTTCTTTTGTCCATATGTACCCCCTCTGCATCAATAATGTGTCCTAGATAGGAGACCGATCTTTGCAGTAGACATATTTCCTGGCGTTCAGCATGAGTCCTGCACTTCTCATTCGTTCGCGAATCTCTCGGAGCAGTTCTATGTGTCGACCCATTGTTTCCGTGCAAATTATGACATCGTCTATATAGCAGAACACTTCGACTCCCAGAAACCCTTTTAGAACAGTGTCCATTAATGGCTGGAATGTTGCCGGACATGTGCTCAGTCCAAATGGGGTCACTTTGAATTGGAAGAGTCCTTCTGGCGTTGTGAAGGCAGACTTATGTTTTGTCTGCTCATCCAGAGGGATTTGCCAGTAACCACTGCATAAGGTAAAATATTATACTTTTTGCCCGCTAAACTTTGCAAAATCGCGTCGATTGTAGGTAAAGGATACGAATCCTGTCGGACGCACTTATTCAGCTCTCTGTAGTCGACGCAAAGCCGTGTCCCTCCGTCATTCTTCTGAACCAGGACTATGGGGAAAGCCCAATCAGAAGAGCTTTTCTCAATTATCATTCGTTGTTCCAGATCCTTCAACATTTCTCTCAATTTAGAGCGAACTCCTAATGGGGCTGGTCTTGTTTTGAGTTTGATAGGCTCATGATCTCCTGTTTCTATCCTCATCCTGACCAAGTCAGTTTGCTTTAGCTCCTTATCGTTCACTGAAAACGTACCGATGTATTTTTCTAGTATATCTTGTAGTTCTTTTTCAAATTCGTTTTCTTCTCGGTTCTGTTTGATTTGCTCCCGAAGTAGCTTTTTCTTCTCGTTCTTCTTCATCTTTACTGTGCCATGGTCCAGCATGGTGCATTTCTCCCATTTTTCTATCCATCTTTCTTTGGTCAGCTCGCCTAGCTCGTCACCTTTACGCAAAATCAGTGGGGCTTCTTCGTTGTTAAGCACGGGTATGGTTATCGTTTCATTCGTTATTTTGTATACGCCACTTGTCACTCCCTTTATTTTGGACCACAATACACCTTCTTCACTTTCCGTGACGCAATTTGCCGCTACTAGCTTCATTCCATACGACGGGACTATAACTCGTTTTCCTACCCTGACCACCGTCTCCTGCTCTTGTGGATGACCTCCCTGTTTTTCGCGCTCGGGTTGGAGTGCTATGCTAATGCCTAAACTTTCTAACCCCCACAATGGTCGGTCGCCTCGTCGTGGCGTGGGGGTAACACTGGGTGTCGAACTGCGATGCACAGCCGAATGTATACTCTGATAGGGCCTCCCAAGCTGCGAAGAAGTTCGACGTTTCCTTTCGGCTGGATGCCCAGCTAAGAACCGGCCACGCCAGATCCCCCGCCGTCTGGCTTCTTCTGGTCGCTAGGCGGTCCCTCCCCGCTCCAAGCCCGTTGTCAGCGATCGCCCCGTGGAAATCAAGAGTAGGCCTAGTAAGCCACCTCTTGTAGGGGAAAATTCATATCACTCCTCCAGTTAGAAGATTAGAAAGAAACCCTGCACATCGTATCCCGCCTACGGCGCCGGGGGTAGCAAGAATTTCGGATTAGACAAAAACAACACGTCTGCCCGGACGACACGCCATAGATACTGCCTCATGCTCTGCATCTACAACGCCAGGACAGTCTCCACAAACGCCGACCTCCACGCTCTTCTCGACGCTGCAGAGCACATCAACTACCACATCATCGCTCTGCAGGAAACGAAGTCCAGGAAAAAGGACGTGCGACAGATGAGTGATGGGACCCTCATCATTCGTGGTGAAAAGGTTCCATTACGAAACGTGGGAGGCGTCGGCTTTGTCGTCCACCCATCTATCGTCCATCTTGTCGATTCGCACGAGATCCTATCACCTCAACTGGGCATCCTACGACTACGTCCTCCACGTCAGAAGACCATCAGCATCATCAACTGCTACTCGCCAACATCAGCAGCTGACGACTTAGAAATAGATGCTTTGTACGAAGACGTGGAGAAGGTCGTCCGCAACGAAAAGTCCTTCTACAAGTATGTTGTGGGCGACTTCAATGCGAAAATCGGGATGCCACTAGAAAAGAAATATAGGATCGGGAAGTTTGGATATGGGCTCCGAAACGAAAACGGCAACCGTCTCGTTGGGCTTCTCTCCGCCGCCCGACTCTTCCATGGAAACTTCATCTTCATGAAGAAAGAACATCGCCGGTGGACTTGGGAATCGCCCAACGGAACGACTCATGCTGAAATCGACCACATTCTTACCAACCGAAGGTGGAGCTTACTCGATGTCTCTGTAGTTCCATCCTTCTGTAGTGGCTCCGATCACCGCCTCCTTCGAGCGAAGATACGATTCAGCCGAAGGCTGGAAAAGAAAGTCTGTCATAGTGCCGCGAGAAGGAAGGAAGTCGTTTATGACGGTAACAGGCTGGAAGAGCTCATATCAAGTTGTGACTGGCCCATCGAGGAGGACCCAACGTACGACTACGACCGGCTTCTAAAAGGATTGCGAGCCTGTGGAGAATGCGCCTCAGTGACTTCTGAGAAGAACTTGGAACGTATTTCGAAGACCACCGAGGAAATGCTCGAAAGAAGAAGATTTCTGAGGCAGGATCCGAATGCAACCCATCTCGAGCGACTGATAGCCAACGCCAGTTGCAGAACAGCTTTGCAAGAGGATCTCAGGAAGTACAGGCAAGCCAAGATACTGGAAGCAGCCGAAAGAAGACGAAGTCTTAAGAAGTACCGAAGGGACCCCTGCGAATATCACATACCGCTGGCTGCACTACTGAACGAAAACGGGACTCCGACTTCTTCCCGCTACAAGATGGAATCTATCGCGAAGAACTTTTACACCAACCTCTTCCGCTCATCAACACCCGTGTAGATGCCCGTTGTTCCCACTGGAGAAGTATCGCCACGAATTCTATCTGCTGAAGTGCGTATCGCGATACAGACCATGAAGACGTCAACGGCTCCAGGACCAGATCATCTTTCCGTCGAACTTCTGCGAGCTGGAGGACACCGTCTACACGAGATTCTAGCGTCGCATTTGACATCTTACCTTCAGAAGGAGAAGATTCCCGACCAGTGGAGAACGTCAAGAACGGTCCTTCTCTTCAAGAAGGGTGAACGGGAGGATCTTCGGAACTATCGTCCAATATGCCTGCTGAGTGTACTGTACAAGCTTTTCACGAAGATCATCCTCGCTCGCATATCAAGGACACTGGCTGAAGCCCAACCCCAAGAACAAGCTGGATTTCGCAAAGGATTCAGCTGCATGGACCACATCCAGACCGTTTCGAGGGTCATAGAAGTCTGCCGGGAGTACCGACTGCCTCTCGTCCTAATCTTCGTCGACTACGAGAAAGCCTTCGACAGCGTCGAAATCAACGCCATCCTGTCAGCGCTAGTCGATCAAGGAGTGGACCCAGCCTACGTGAGGACACTAGCCGACTGCTACAAGGACTGTACAACAACGATACAGCTGTTCCATCGCCCCTGACCATACCAATCGGGAAGGGGGTCCGACAAGGCGACACAATCTCGCCGAAGCTGTTCACCGCGGCCTTGCAGTGGGTGATGAAGTCACTGGACTGGGACGAGAGAGGCATACGAGTTGATGGGAGATTCCTGTCTAACCTTCGTTTTGCGGACGACATCGTTCTCTTCTCGAGCAGTATCACCGAAGCAGAGACGATGCTGAAGGAACTGAACGAAGTAGGGAAGAAGATCGGACTGCGAATAAATCGGAAGAAGACTCAGTTTATGAGGAACGCCCTTTGCGAAGATGCAGAAATGGAATTGGAAGGTACCCCTATTATGGAGACGTCTTCTTACGTGTATCTGGGACGTTCGATGAACATGGAGAACGACTTGAGGGAAGAACTTAACAGGAGAAGAAGAGCAGTTTGGGCCGCCTTCGGGCCTCTGAAGGAAGCCACCGACCAACTGACGGATCCGGAGCTTCGTGCCCACCTGTTCGACTCAACCGTTCTCCCGGCGCTCTGTTACGCAGCTGAACTTGGGCCGACCCACCCACAGAGCTCTCGAGCGCAGTTTTCTGAAGATGACCCGACGCAAGCAACATCTAGTCGGACTTCGCAGTACGGATATGAGATGAATGACGTTGCGAAAGCGAAACCCGATGGTCCGATTACGCCATTAGAAGAACAGACGACAGATGGACACTAAGAACATCTGAGTGGATTCCTCGCGAAGCCAAACGTCCTCGAGGAAGACCACCAACGAGATGGGCAGACGTGTTCGTGGAACGGATGGACCAGCTGAGAAATCAGCTGGATACGACTTTCGCCCCTGGAACTCGTGGACGCAGCCACCGACGACGGCCAAGAAGATCGTGGATGTCTGAAGCGAGGGACAGGGAAAAATGGCAACTTCTGTACTGGGGCCTGCACGTCACGTGAGGACGGGCCATTTAAGTATCTAAGTAAGTAAACTTTCTAAAGCATTGGTACCTAGCAAGATTTCTAAACTATCCTCTTCGGAGATGTAGAATGCTACTTGCGCTGTTCTACCTCCCTGTATCGCGGTTGGAATTCTTACTCCTCCTAAAAATTTCATTCCATTGCTAGATGCATCGTAGACAATGTTCATGTCGTTTTCCTGGATGCGCTCCAAGAAATCCACATCGTACCCTCTTTCGTACGCTGCGGATAGCACCTTGAGCGGTATTATGCTGATCCTCGACCCTGTGTCGATTAGCGCTTCCACATCGCCTCTTAGCAATTTCGCCTTCATTAGGGTTCGTTTGCCCACTACTTCAGTCCTTTGTCCTTCCTTACATTGTGTTCTCACTCCTATGGCTTTCACTCGGCGGATCAGTGAAGTGATTGGAGTCATATTTTCTTCGTTTTGAATGGCACGGTTCCGTCGGCTATTGTGTTTCTCTGGGCAAGATCTCGCTAAGTGCCCATACCTTGCACAATTATAACACCTTGGTTCGTTCGCCTCCATGACATACCGATTGCCTGTTGCCTTATCTTGGCTTCGGTTTAACGTTCTTTCGGGCATGGTTCTCACGCTTGCTTTACTTCTCCATTCTTTTCCGTCATATCTGTCTGCCGCCTCTTCCTGCGTCTGCCTGACATTCTCCTCCCTACTCCCCGTGGACGCTTGTGTTGCCTGTCCCCATTGGTTTCGGCTTTGGTATTCTTTCACTCGTGTATAGCCGCGGGCTGTATCCTTCCAACCCCTTTCTTGCTTGAAGCTCCCCTTGCTATACACTTCCAGGGATTGCTCTATGCTAATGGCCAATTCCTTGATTTTCTCATAAGCTTGTGTTGGTCTTGTTTTATGTAATACACTCAGCAGCTGGAGATGTTCCGGCCAGTGCTTGAGATTTTCTAACAAGATCATTGCATATTTCATAGACTTATTTTCGGGACTCCCCTCCGGGTCTGCTTTGCGTCCTAGTCTTTCTAGCACTATGCAAAAGTCTACCACGCTTTGCCCGGGTTTAACCTCAGGTTCCTCATTTCCGTTAGGGCCCTAAGTCTCGCCGCCGTAGAGTCTACCGCAAGAGTCCCTAACTCTTGCACTACTACCTCGAAGGTTGATTCCCTTACATCTCTGGGTAGGGTTAGGTACAAATTCTTTGCTCTCCCCCTCCTAAGTGGTCGTCTACTAGTATTTCTTTTAGAGTTTGGTCCTCTTTGACCACCTTCCCGTACTTCCTACGGAACCTTCTTAGGAACTCATCAAAATTCTCATTTGTTTTCCCTCTAAAAGTTCCCGGATCTACGCACGTTGAAGCCTCTAGAAATGTTAGAAGGCTCTGACCTGCCATTTCCGGCTCCTTTCCGTTTTCTTCCCAATTCTGGAAATGCGGATTCAAGCGCGGTTCGTAAAGCGTATCAATCCTCTTGTTCGGAAGATCTGCCAGAGCGCTCTGCAAAGCGAAATTTTCTCTTCTGCTTTCAGCCGTCCTGCTCTTACCATAATGCATACTTTTCTTCTCTTCATTTGGGCCTTTTCCCTCTTCGGGTACTTCTGCCTTCAATTGCTGTACTTTCTCTTTTATCTGAAAAACATTGGTATTTAAGAGTTCGCATAGCTCTGTTACTAATCCACTGTCTCTCTCTGTGGTAGATATAAATTCATCCAAGTCCTCTGCGGACTCTATTCCCTTCTTCAAAAGGACTTCCCTAATTTGTCCCCCAGACATCCCTTCCTTTCCAATTTTTGTCTTCAAAGTTGCCAGCGCGCTTTTTGTTTTCTCTACAAGTTGCGCTATTTCATTCTCGAGTGAGTCTCTAAACTTGTAAGCTATTCTGTGCTCATCGAGTTTTGAAGCAAGTTTCAGGTATACTCGCAACCATGCACTCGATCTCACTAAAAATTTCGTCCTCTTTCATGCAGGCACTTACCTGCTTTTCGGATTTTCCCTTGTCCATTGATTCGATCATTGCCTTTCGTGGCTTTTGACGCGCTCAGTTCCTTATTCTGAAAACAGTTTTTGAACCTCCGTTTATCGGTTCACAACGCGACAGTCCACGAGAATTACACGAAGTCCCTATTCTGGACTCGCTTTCAAGCTTTTCCCGTGTCTTTCTTTGTGTAGCTCTCAGACGGCCGGTTCGGCTTCTATGTGAGTTTCTGATACGATTACGGCCGAAACCGCCGAGAGCTTTTACTTAAAAAAATAAACACAGATTTATCAACAATAAACAGGAAACAAGGACAAAAGTCGAAAAAGCGAGATCGTGGTGAGTTCAAGAGGGAAAAACCGCCGGTGAGGCTCGGACTTCGAATGACGTCCGAGACGTCAACAGCCGCGCCAAAATCGATGCGTGATCTCTTCGGTGGCAGATCACCAGCTGATCGCGACATAAGTGCGTATAGTGTGGACCTTGTCTTCACTTGTTATATGGAAAAAGCGAGTTCTTCAACTTTTTTTAGACTCATGAGGTTTCACTTATATTTCTCGAAGACGGTACTATGGAGGCTTTTTGCTTACAAGGAAGGATGGTGTGTCGAAGTGGCCTTTCAGAATGAGGTGGGTATCATCTTGTAGCGTTTCGAAAGCTGATTTCAAATCTGCCTTCCTTATCTGCGGCGCCGAGGAGTTATGAGGGTTTGTAGGGGGCGGAAGTCGATACAAGTACAATCAAGGACAGTCCACCACTGTGCCGTCTGGTGTAGTGGTTAGTGTGGTGGTCTCAGGCAGAGGTTCCCAGGTTCGAATCTTCTGTTGTAGTCCTTGTTTTGCTGGTCATACAAAAAATTTGTATGAGCATGCGCAGCGTCCATACACCACCACCTGTTTCTTTTATCAGAATCTCGAGGCAATAACCGCCTTTCTTTGAAGGTCTTTGCAAGTGATTCGAAGTGGAGGTAGAAATGTCAAAAGAATTTTGACGCGTAATACCCGGGTGAACGTAAGAGGTCACAATGTTATCAACATATTCGGCAATGTTCAGCTTATTCCTGATACGTCAGCGGCTACCTTGATGCACATCCGGGAGATTTTCAAGCCCTGGACAGTACTGCTTCCCTTCCAGTTTGATAGGAGAATTTGACCATTCGGATTGTTCAGAAGTAGCCTTCATTCGTTGCTCTCATTGTGAAAAATGCCTATGTTTTGCCCACTTTGTCCTCTCCTTTCATCAATGCACATAGACGTTTGAAAACATAAAGTCACAAAACTTTTTTGAAGAGATTTGCAGTTAAAAGAAGGAAGAGTTGATGTATAGATGATACGCGTGCTCATACAAATTTTTTGTAGACCAGCAAAACGAAAACCACAACAGGAGATTCGAACCTGGGAGCCTCTGCCTGCAAGACCACCACACTAACCACTACACCAAACGGACTTGTATCGACTTCCGCCCCCTAAAAACCCTCATAACTCCTCGCCCAAAAACCCGCCGCAGATAAGGAAGGCAGATTTGGAATCTGCGTTCGACGCCCTACAAGATGATACCCATCTCATTCTGAAAGGCCACTTCGACCCACCTTCCTTCCCTTGTTAGCAGCGTGAATCTTTCGAAAATGCAACCCTGGTATTGGAGGGGGGTCGTTTTCGAGGCAACTCAGGGGGGGGGGGGGTCGTATTCGGCCGTTCAGTGCCACACCTCTTGCTCTACCCTGGATATCAGTTGCTCATTGTCGAGCCTCATTCTTTGCTCTCTGAACTGCACTTTGTAAAAGTACGACTAACTAACTAACTTGCGTAAAACACTCCAGGAGATGACTTTTCCGCCGCGGCAGATAAATCAACAGAAAATCGTCGGAAGCTCATAGAATCCTCCAAACTAGGTTTTTTTGCAAATCTAATGAAATTTTTGGAATGTTCACAAAAAGGCGATTCTAAAAACAAAATTTTCTAAAACACACTTCTCAAGCTGCTTCAGTGGGATGTCGACGGATTGATCTGTGGCGAAACGTCGCAGGCTCGTAACTTTACTGAACATGGATTTTTTGGATTTTTGTTTTATAACGTTTCTGAATACCACTGGAGTGAGGACTACATGTAAATTTTGTTGTGAAAAACTTCCCTTGAAGCATTTTAGAGTAGTCGCGACGGAATGGCGTGTGAAACCGTCGCAAACGAATGACTTTGTCTAAATCAAAGTTGATGAAGTTTCAACTGCACTACTACCATGACTACCAGCCACTGATTTCAGCAACATAATAAATTTCCAAAATAGAGTACATAAACCCTTGCCTAAAGTCGACGCTTATGACGAGACAAAACCATCGCTGCCGAAAATTCGACGGTTACGCCGCGACAGATACTCTGCACCGTCAACTCTACTTATAGATAGAAATTTCATAATTTTAAATGCGTGAAAAATGTCTATTTGTGAAATTGTGTGAAAGCCGTTGAGTTTGAAAAACAGTAAAGAAGTTCATTACCTATAAATGTCCAAATCATTCTCCAAAGCTGAATCTACAGAAAGTCCTTCACAAGGTTCAGAAGAGAACAGCTGACTGTGATTTTTATCGATGGAGATATGAGTCTCTGAACTGAGGTAAACGACCTAAAACTGCAGATTGGCAGCTCAATTAGAGTAGCGTAAGCAAGAAACTATCATTCTAGACTTATGAGAAACTGACAAGAGAGGTCCAACTAGTCGAAGTGGCCTTTTTAAAGGAGTCTTACACCACTTTGAAGAAAATCAAACGCTGATTTCAGTTCTGAGTTCATTATCTGCCGAGGGCCTCTGCATGCCGAGTTGTGAATATTTTTTGATGCGGAATAATGAACGCAAGATATAGAATAAAATCAAGTTTTTAGGTCTTTTCAGCGCTCAAATAGAGCAATGTTTAGTGTAAGCGTTTTGGACAAAAGTTCTTGTTCAAACGAAGTGCTCTGATGATTAAATTGCTTCATTTGAGCAATTCTGACGAAATTTGTTCCGATTATGCATTCAATTTTTTAACTCGAAGAACGCTCACAACTTGACGTCCAGAGTCGCTCGGCAGATACTGAACGCAGATTTTGAATCAGCTTCCATACTCCTTATAGTCATATCAATTTCATGTGGAAAGGCCACTTCGACCAAATGGACCTCCCGTGTGAGGTGCCGCAGAAATTTATTTATAATGATTGTGAGGTAGAATTTTGACTCATCAGTAACCTCGACTTTGGTTAGGAACGATGCTAAAGAACACAAAAACGTTTATATATTTTAAAGCATACAACTACATACATCCAAGCTATAGAAAGCAAATCTTGAGTTTCTAAAATGCAAGATCTCGATATAATTCAGAGCTCTAATTCGATCAATAAACGTCAGCAATCCCCTGATCCGCATTCAGTACAGCTACGGAATTCACAGCTCTCCCACTCCTCACATACTCTCATAAACTTCGTATCAACACGGTGACCTTAACAAAGCACTGAAAGTACAGGATGATTTATGAACTGCAAAAGGCTATACTTAGCAGCCAATTTTCGCGCTATCAGTTGATCATTGTCGCGCCTCATTCTTTGCACTTTGTAAAAGTACGTATGTACCAAAGTTCCCTATTGATTATCGCCCATTCTATTTAAATTTTTGTGGGGGCGGACTTTGCTTGCCAAGCATGGTTGCAGATGCCGTTGGCTATGTAAATCCGGAAGTAGTTTAGATGATCTGTGGATCAATCATGGTTAAGAAATGGTAACTTATTGTTGCGGCTCGGTGGGCTCAGCACCCCCTTGCTCGCTCGACTGCCAACACAATCCTGCTCCTACTCCTGCACACTCTAGCGCCGGTTGGCCATTCCGGCGCGTCCGACAAATACCCCGCTGGGTGGAGATAGACCACAACAAGAAAAGCGCGACTAGATTACTTAAGTTTTTTCAAAATTACAAACACTACACTACAAAAGAACTATATTACGAAAGTCTAAACTACAAAAAGGAGATATGTGGGACGAGTCCGTCTCGTCCCAAGCCGCCGATCATCACCAACTTAGATCTGAATACGATGTCAGGGAACCATACCATACGATGTCTGCCTCCGTGGTGGGGTCCAACGGTTCAAGAATGGCCTCGTTGACTTCGGTGATCTCCTTGCAAAGTGCTTTGGCGGCCTTGGTGATGCGGGTTTTATGACTACCGAGTAGCGACATTACCTGAAATAGAATCGCAGACTGAGTGTTGTAAGAGTGAGAATCCGATGGGTCCGTATCTTTTACGTTTTCGAGTCGATCAATGATGGTATCCAGCGTGTTGAGCAGCTCATCAACTGTCCACATCGGGTCTCCTTTGTTCTTGAATTCACCGATTCTCTCGCGTGTACGCCGGGGAAATTTCGCACGAATGATCTTAATCGTGCCGATCGCACTGGAGTCCTCTTTCAGATGTTGCAGCTGGGTCCATGTGGCTCTGATAGCACACAGTGTCGCGCGTTGTGACAACGGCGACTCCGAAGCTGATGGAAGATGCATCAGCTTGTCCCAGAGCTTATTACGAAGAATCTCCGGTCGACCATAAGTGTTCGTCAAAATACGTACTGCCTGGTCGTAATTCTCTGCCGTAGATTGAAAGCCGGCGATGATGTTCGCAGCAGGTCCTCGCACGTGGGACTTCAAGTACATAAACTTGATTGGCACTGGCACATTGGTGTTATTGTGTCAGCCGTTGAAAAAAGGTCCCAGAACTCGAAGAAGCTATCGATCTCGCCATGAAAGATGGGAATCTCAAAGGCTGGTAACTTCAGGGATTGCTCCAAGGAAGACTGCAAATTGGTATTGGGGGATGAGGACAATGGCAAAAGAGGATTCGGCTGGGGACCAGATGTTGCGAGGGGATCAGCAAAAGTTGGGGGGTTTGAAGGGGGGTTATCTGAAGGGGTGCCGAATCCTTGTGAGGCCCTAGATGCGCGTACTGGTAGTGGGATATCAGCTGGCGCGGCAGCGCAGGTCCTGATGGACGATCCTGATTGTGGGATGAAGAGTGGCTCCGGATTTCCGT